TATTCTATTCTATTCTATTCTATTCTATTCTATTCTATTCTATTCTAATTCTATTCTATTCTACCTTATGATTCTTGATGAATGTATCTTTTCTTTTATGTACACTGAGAGCATTTGCACCAAGACAAATTCCTTGTGTGTCCAATCACACTTGGTCAATAAAGTATTCTATTCCAATATGGAGCCTCTGCAACATAACCATTTAAGTATCTCAACGACAACAGGAGACTCTAATTCAGTCCACCCACCTTTTCTGAATACTGCCCTATTTGGGGACATTGTTCCAGTCTGGTATATATTGAGACCAGTCTGGTATAAATCAGCACATGCTGGGAAAGTCGATATTGCTCTGAATGAAGCTAGCAGAATTATTACCGGATATCTTAAATCAGGGTGTCAAACTGGATTTCTTCGAGGGCCAGATCAGCATTGGAATTACCTTCTGTGGGCTGGTGGGGGGGAGGGGGGAAAGGAGGGGAGATGGAATGGACACCTAGTGCAGCACCCTGCTGGCTAAAACAGGGCATGTGGGGGCACGTGAGGCCACCTCTGTCCCATTTGGGCCTGAATGGCTTCCTGCAGCACTTTACAGGTCAAAATGGGGGATGAGGCCCTTGCATGGCCCATTTTCAGTCTCCCTGTCTTCCAGCAGCACTCTGATGGCCAAAAACGGGCCACACACAGACCTCCTGTGGGCCCCGCGCTACCTGTTTTCAGTCTCCCTGGCCTCCAGCAGTATTCTGCTGGGCAAAAATGGTCCACAGCTCATTTTGGGCCAGCAGAGTGCTGCAAGAGGCCAGGGAGGCTGAAAACAGGCTGCAGGGGGACTGCACCTGGCCCATTTTGGCTGGCAGAGGCAATGTGGGCCTGTCCTTTGATATTTCCAGGCCAGCCCCACAGGCTGGATTTAAGCACCCCTGTGTTAAACCTACCCCTCCTGAAAGGGTGCATTTATAGCTCAAAACATGATTGAACCTATGATTTTTGGCCGATCACAAGCGACTGAGAAAATGAGTTTCTTCTAACTGTTGATAAAAACCAACTGTCTGAAGTCCATATGGACATTTGTCCAGTTCTCCCTTTTTTCCAAAAAGAATTTGGCAGTCAGGACCTTGCAGACAACTGCTAATTTTGACCAAAATACCTTGGCAGTAAAATGCAGGTATTCTGCTAATCTCAAAGTTTTCTTCAAAAAGGAAGACATTTGGAATGACCAATATGATTAGAATGCAGACTCCTGAGCAAAATGGTTGAACCTTGCTTGTAAGCCATACTCTTTCCAGCACTGTCACATTCATAATTCTCAATCTCAGTCTCAGTTTCCTTCCAA